GGTCCCCCCACCCCCTTTGCTAACCTTTAAACCTTAGTTTCGAAGGGGAAGCGCCGGCCGTTCATCCCGTTGCGCCCGCAAGGCGCGCCGGGGAGAGCGCCTGCACGCTGGGGGCGTGCTGCCGTGTTAGACCCCGTAGGAGCTGTCATTAGCTGCACGCTGCCCTTGCCAGATCGAGCCTCGGCGCTCCTCGGGGGAGGTAGGGTCCTCGTGCTTTTCTTGCTAGCAGCGTAAAGAGGAATTCATGTTGAAACGGAGCGTTGTTTTTTTACTTTCCTTTGTAGAGAGCAGAAGTTTGTTCCTGTTTTTTGTGCTTGTCCTGGCAGATCAGCACATAGTTCCAGGTTTGTTTTGTAAGAGCAGAAATTCCAGGAAATTAAATAACTTCGTCGTTCTCCCTGGCCTTAAAAATATTCTAACTGTAAAAAATTACGAATTTTTAAACAACTGTTTAAAGCAATGTTAGGAATATATTCTGTAAGAACAGCCAAATTAGAGTTCTGTTAGGGGTTAAAGTGGGCAGTTGAACAAACAAGGACTTCTCTCTGAGCTGCACTCACGTATGATACCAAAGCATGATTTTATTCTCTGTAGATTGTGAAGATTCTGTTAGTTTGGGGCATACTTTCTTCCACAAGTGAACTTCAATGTTGACAGTTCATTATGCTTCAGCATTAACTTTGGCATGGTTATTTCAGACTCAACAGGTTTAGGCAAATAGCTGTCTGGTATCTCATCCATTTAAAGAATAATTGTGATGAGAGGGAGATTTTTTGTTAAAAAAGCAAGGAATTCTTTGTGTTAAAACATAAATATGGAAGAACATACAGATACACTGCTTGGCTTGCTATGTATTTTACTAGATTCCAACACACAAGTTCTTCATTTTCCCTTACGGTGTTATATTATTACGTTAGACTTCTCATCAACATTGTGTCCTCAGCCGTACTTAGAATCATGTTTAGGAACAAGATGAAACTTGATTATTTAAGCTAGGTCAAAGTGTAGTTATTAGAATTTGAGTTAGCTCTGTACATGTGGATGTGCAAATCCTCTTGTAATTTTTGTCCACGTATGAATTTAAATGTGTGATCTTTCTAGAAAGTTGATTAAAATTGATTTTTTTTTTTTTCCTAAGGTATGATTTTTGGTTTTGTTATGTGGCTGTTTCATTTTCCATTTAAATTGCTAACGTATGGATTTTGCATTTGTTTCCAAGTAACCAAATTGTTGGTTTTCAGATTTTATGAATAGATTTATCTTCACCTAAGAGGTGTCATACTTTAAAATGTATATCTGTATTGAAGTCAGTGTGTTTGGAACATCACAATTCTTTTCATGAACACAACACAAAATCAATAAGTGGAGGAGCAAAAGGGTGAAGCTGAACTGCTTGAACCGTACCGTGCGCTTATCAAGGTTTGCAGTTAGAGGTCAGTGGGACTTGTATTTCTTCGTTGTTCAGAGGTGTCTGACTAAGGTGACACAAGTCTGAGATTTCAGAAACATGTGAGTACTTCTAGGTATCTGTGTCTGAATACTTCTTTGGGTTTCCCTTTTCTGTCAAATTTTTACATCTAAGTTCAGAAGAGTGAAATGCTCACAAAACCTGTGCTATGATATTGGAATACTAAGTAGTGTTTAATATTAAAGCAATACTGTGTGCACCACTGTGCTGAAACACGCATATGCAGATTTTCAGTGGGAGTGTTCGCAGTGAGTGATAGTTAAGATTGTAAATATTTGTATTTCAAAGTCAAATTCTTTGAGTAAGTGCCTTATGTTTTGTTTGTATCAGTTCTATTGATTCTAAATATGATATTTTGACAATAGTGGTGTTTCAAAAAAAAATTCCATTCCTTAGCTTATTAGATATTATAATTGAAATCTGCAGTAGGCGATGATTTTCAAAACTTATTAAAAAAAAAAATTAAAAACCCCTATGGATTTAAATCCCCAGTGAGATAGCTGCTCCCTGTTCTGCTAGTTCCTGGAGAGCAATTTAAGATTGAATTGGTTCACCAGCTTGTCCAAGTGAAATAGTGAAAGTCAGAGTTGCTCTCACACGCCTTCCTCTCCAACAGGCTGGGTATATTTCTGACACTTACAGTTTAGTTCCTACCATTTATGATCTTGTCCTTTCTGCAGACTTCTTTACTTTGATTTAAGATGGAATTTTTGAAAAAAATGAGCGCAGTAGGAATTGATTTGGTTCTTGTATTAAAAAGTCATTCACCTGTCATAATATTCCATCCGTATATATTTTACTGCTAACATGCATTAATATGAGAACTGTGAAAGTAGATGCTTCTGAGGTATTTTTTGTTGTTGCTGCTTTTTGCGGTGCCATCTAGAATAGTCAAATTTATTTGAATAGGTTGGGAGTGGATAAGCCTTTGGAATAGATGAGATGCCTTGGCGAGACATTTACTTTCATTGCTCTGTGCCTATAGAAAGGGTGACATTTTTACGTTTTAACTTTATTTCAGAAAAATAGTTGTGTGTCAGCACCAGTTATTTAGATGCATAATGTGCATTAAGTGAGGTAATACTCCAGGTTTTAGGGACAGCTGGGATTTTTCTATTTTCACTTGGTTATGGTGTGGTGCTGGGTGTCCCAGAAGGCAATGTGAGCAGTTCCTGTGGTCTTCCTGACTGGAACTTTGTTGACCTGTTGCAGGTATTGCTGGACCTTTCTTGTTTTCTAGCTGGAATAATTAAGGGTTGTTAGGGGAAGTAAACTATTCTTCAGATGGCAGGAGAGCCTGTAGAGGCCTTACACAAGCTCTGGGGTCACAAGGCACTTTCTTCTGTATCCCTTGGGTATAGAATGAAGGTGGAGATGTCTGAAACGATTGAATGCAGATACTGTTACAGCACTTACATTCTGAGGCTTGGAGTAGATTTGTCTGAATGTTTATCTGTGATATTTAAAAGCTCAGAAGTGCTGCTGGCAAGTGTTGTTGAGTTAATGAAAAAAGGAATAGAGCTTTATGAGCTTGGAATAGTTTTCCTTTTCAGAGGTGTTTCAGGATGTGTACGTGTGTGTGTGCAATCTCATTATGTTTTGTTGCCTGCGTTTAGGTAGTGTTTTTTCCAAAGCGCTTTATGCATTTGCATCAAATTTCCCAGTCTAGTTCTGTGATGAATGAATAATGAATGCTCTAGATAAAATCATAATTACTTGTCATTTAGAAAACATCATCTTTCTTTATGCTTAGGTAGGGTTTTTGTTAGCATGCACTCACTTCATATAGTACTTATCAAAACGGTATTCTTCAGACTGGGTGTCTTGTAGTCACAGGTTTATTTTCCCATAGTCTTTGGGTCACGATTTTTGTGCAGTTTCTGCCAGTTTCATCTTCAGCCGGGCTGTTGTCTCCCATTTAACTAACCAGTGACAATACATTAAACTCAGAAGCACTTAGGAGACAGCAGGTAGAGCTGTAGGGTTGTTCATCCATTCCCAGAGTGAGAAAAGGTTTTAAACCAATTAGAGGTATCCAGCACTCAGTTAAATATGGCAATTTTTTTCACAATGAACTTGGTCTATAAATGCTAATGTAATCCATGCTGACCTATGGCTCCCTTTACAGTCTGTGATTTGACTGATTACTGAATATGTATTTGAGGAGCTGATGTGTATGTCACTGTCTTAAACAGTATTTAACATTGTTTTGGAAAGTTCTTTCTCTGGGTCAGTTATGACAAATCGATATTTAATCTCATGGAAGATGGATATTGGCCATGTTACAGCTAACGAAATGCTGGAAGTTCTTGTGTGTTTTCGGATGTGAAGGAATTTCTTTTGCTTTGATTTCTCCCCCCCCCCATCTCCAATACAAGGTCAATTTATAAATTAGGATTGGGTGTTCCTTCCTCCAGAAGTTACAACTCTTCACAGCAATCACAGTCTGTCAGATTGGAAACTAAGGGCATGGCAGTGTTTTGAGACAGATTGTGTTCTAGTTTGGTCTGTTGATATTTCTAGTAGATTTTTATCAGACTGACAAAAATTGAAATTTAGAGGCTTAAACAAAATCTAGAGTGGTAGTTCCCTTCATTAAATGGTACCTTAACAAGTCACTCAGTATTGTAGGGGGATCCCACTTTTGAGGATGGGAAGATAAATCTGTCAGCTGCTGTCTTGCAAGTAAAGGCTGATCAACCTGAAGTAATTGCTCCAGTGATCATTCTTCCCTCTCACTAGAGCCACTGACTGTTCTTGGAAACCTTGAACAAGTAGTGATGCAGCGACCTGCTCCGCTTCCCAAATACCACTCTTTTGGTGCTCCTTCCACTGCCCACAACTGCTCAGTGCCGCTGCCTTCTGCCTCCTTGGCAGTGTGAAGGTAATATGATTCTTGGCACTTTCACTGCTGTCTGGAGGGTGTTAAACTGGAATAATGACACTGATCGTAATCTTGCTGCCCTAGCTTTGTTGTTTCTTCAGTAAATCCCTGAGCAACAGCAAAGGACTAACTCAGGTCGGCTCATGGAATTGAGGTAGAATTTTAAAAAGCTTCAGTGCTGAACACACTTGTGGTTAGGTGTGCATACTTCCCGTCATGGTCAGGGTTGTCATACACCAGTTAAGACTTGTGTTCAGAGCGTGCACGTGTTCTTTATTCTTCAGGCAAAGGACCAAAAAGAAACTTCCAACTTTTAAAGTGAAGTTCAGCAGTATTCTGTCACTTAATCTTCTCTTTCTCACTCCTTGTTGCTGAGTATTTACTTACCTCTTCCAAATGACTTGTAATCTTTGATTTAGATTATTTCAATGCATATAGCAAAGCTGTGTGGGATTTCTTGCTCATTTTTCTGCCCTTTTTTTTTTGTTGTTGTTACCTCTGCCTTAGACTAAGCCATGACTTCAGGATCTGGGCATGTGGACTCCAAGGCTGAGCTCACTGCTTTGCTTGAGCAATGGGAGAAAGAACATGGTAGCGGGCAAGACATGGTCCCTATTCTCACCAGGTAAGATCTATTAAGTAAATACCTAAATCTGAGTATCTGAAGTTACTTGACAGCAGCTTTTACTATGTTTTTGCTTCAGGTTTTTACATACCTGATGACCTGTTGGTAATTAATTTTCTTGTCTGGAAGTTGAACTGTAAGTGTGGTATTTAAATACACACAATTTTTGGTAAGAAATTTATATTGTAAAGATCTTACACAGACTGTCTTTAAAACATGAATTTAATTCTCTGAAATAAGAAGTCAGGGAAATCGTTAAGTAGTTGAAATAACTTTGGAATCTTCACCTGAAGCTTGTAAAACATTGATCAAGATCAAAAGCTATGAGAATGTTGTTCCATCAAAGTGGTGGTGTGGGGTTTGTGATTGTAGTAACATTGATCAGATTAAATGAAAGGATGAGAGTGACTCATTGGATGAATCAAGGGGATTATATTGTGAAGATTTTATTGAAGCTCATAGGGCATGTTTAAAGTGAAATTTTAAAACTTGATGATTAATTTTTCTTTAAACTGGATGTTGATTGACTGGCATTGTATTGTATGTGTGAGGAAAATATTCCTTGGACCAATAAATTGTTTTAGGAGATGTGTAGGTACTAGTAACACCATTAATTATAAGACATCCTCTATTATAAGAGAAGCGTTTGAATTATCAGTTGCATTTGTGGTTTCCCAAGCCAGGCCTCTCTTGATAAACTGATACTACTCTTGCTTTAATGGGAGATTCACAGAAATTCCACCCAATTCCTCCCTGCGCCTCTGCTGGCAGACCTGTGGCCTGCCTCGTATATGCAGAAGGACTTACTGCACTTGTACATTAAGAGCAATCCAGGTTTCTGTACTGCGCTGCTCTGCATTGTTCGGTCAGACAAGTCAGTGCACAGATTCTGAGCTGGCGCTGGGTGGAAATAACAGGAATCTGGTGCAGCTTCTTTGCACAGATCTGTGCCATGCCTCACCTAGTGGGCACAACTTTTTTGCTGTTCTTACTACGTTTTAAAAATAGCAGCACAGAAGAGGGAGATGAACAGCAGAAAGCCCATCCTAAACACTTGAAAATCATGAGACATGTTTGGTGTATCTTTGTGTATTGTCTGATTTGTGTCTTGAAGAAAACATATGTGCTATTTCAAGGCTTTTTCTTGCAGGCATAAATGGCAGAAGTTTACTATATTCTAAGAAATTTAAAGAAATTTGAATTAAACGTGTCTTTTCTTGTGTTTATAGCAGTCTGGCACTTCATGCTCCCCCTCAGCTCCTTGAGTTCCCTACATTATTTATGCCCAGACAAGTCTGATAACTCTCTTTTCATTCTTCAAGGTTTCTGTGCAGCAGGCAGAGTGGTTGTGGATGGCGAAAGCTTGGGTATTTTGGCTTTGGATAATACAAATTTATTTAAGGTAGATAGCAAGGGGATCTACTGGCTCTGGCAGAAGTTGGATTTACAGTGCTTCAGGTATCAGTGAAAGCCATATGTCTGTTTGGAGTAAAGGATTTTAGGTACAGCATATGTTTAAAAGAATTTGCTGGAAGAGATGCTAGGAATCCTCACCAACTGGAGCTTGCGTTAGCTGGTGTCCTGAGGCAGAGTCGTGCCCTTGCATATTGTTTTAGAATTAAGGTGGAGGAAGCTGTGGTCATGCTTGTTGGTGAGTGACGTTTTTCTACTTCCTTCCGCCTTCTGAGGTAGATGGAAGAAAACTTCCCTGTGTGGATGGGGGCCTGTTAAATGTGATGCCAAGGCAGCATGTGTGAGCGTGCGGTAGTGAGTGTTTCAACAATAATAGGACAAGAACAGCAACAGTGTGGTTTATAGGCCACAGCTGAATTGTCACTTCTAAATAAGCTAGTTTTCTGGATTTACGAACTCTGGAGTGTCAGAAGGTACAAATTGAAGAAATTGCTTGGAAAGCATGTCAGCAAACAACAGATATTTAATATATATGGTTTTCAAAAACATTGTAAATTGGAATGATCCTGCAAGAGCATTAGTTCATAGTCTGGATGCAAGTCATGTTCAATCCTGGCAAATCCTGGGAATCAGATCCTTCACTGCATCTCAAGAGCCTCTTTCATAAAGGGAATAAATCAGCAGCTCAACATCATACTTCATCTCCACACACGAAGTGTGTTGTGGTATGGGATCCTAGAGCATCTTACACTGTTGCAATCTGTTGTAAAGGCTCAGGTTGGTCATCAATGCCAAATGATGGCATAGAGCAATATTAGGATGGCTTTATATTACGGTGTTTAGAACAGCGGGAGTCTTGCAAAGTTGACATAGTTTTATGTATACCACTGCCCCTTCCTTCCCCACCCCCAAAGTGAGCTCAGCTTGTGGCAAGTGAAAATGAGGATCTGACTAATTTTCCAAAGATGATCGCAAAGAAAGTTGTAAAGAGAAAAAACAAATTAGTCAGAAGTGGGGGGAAAGAACCCCTACTCCCATGTAAAACCTAGATCTTGTCTGCAAACTCTGAAGTGGCTAGAGAATCAATATAATGCCAAGTGAACGAAGGAAATCTCAAAACCTGAATAAAAGTTGTATTTTTGTGAACTGGTTTTTGTTAAAGCCCTGTGCACTACATGCCTATGTTATGAGGTAGGAATGAGCTTTGTTAGTTATTTGATTCTCCTGTTGCTTCAACTGAGAATTGACAAAGCTGTTGATCTAGATAGATTCATCCAAGTCACTTCACAAACGACCTTTGTATGCATTAGTTAAAAGAAGGGTATTATAAGCAAGCTTGATTTTTTTTTTTTTTTTTTTTTCCCCCCCCTTTCTTTTTGAAAGTCAATTTTAAAGAGGCAGTGCTTTTTTATTTTGGTCAAACAATTGTGACTAATTGTCTCAAAAAACCCCTGTAATTGGTGATTCATGTGCCTGTTTCATCTAGGCTGTGATAATGTTGTCGTCCCTAAAACCACTCGGCAGCTTCAGCTGGCATGCTGTTTGGTTGCCTACCTAAACAGGATGGACTGATGAGAATGTTATGCTCACTTCCCATGCTTGCTCCTCAGTCCTTTCTGGCACACAATCAAAATGCTGATTATCACCTAAAAAGACCTGACAAGTCTAGGGTGCAGCTTCTCAATTCCCCGTTTGTCCCAGTTGTCTGTCAACAGGTACCCCTCAAGCTATTAGTTCTCCTGGTAAAAAATGAGGAGCTGGCAGTGGAGTATTTAAGGAACTTGCTTTTGCCAGAAATTCATGAGAGCTCAAGCTGTGCCACCAGTTAGCAAGGGACACAATTTGTATCTCTTCACATTCAGGCTTACTAAAACTAAATATTAGAACCCCACAGGATAAACAGTTTACTGAAAGGTAATTGTCAGATCAGAGACAAGCAGGAAAGTTCTCTGCTCATTTCTGATAAGCTAATTTGCTGTTCCTACAATCTGGGCAGGCTTCATAACATCATCCTCTGTCATACTGGCAAGTCAGTGTAGTTCACAGAGGCAGAACTAAATACATTTTTGCCTCTAATTGGAACCTTGGAACACAGGATATTTTCTGGAAAGTAACAGGAGTGGAGTAGAAGTCAGTGGCATTCTGTAAGGGAAATCCCCTGCGACAGACAAATATTTTTCCAGGGATTACTGCAGCCTTCCAGCAGTTTTCCCTCCCCTATAATAAACTCTGCCTAGATCACTACTCTGAGGTATTAAGACCTTGTTTTAAAATGCTGTGCTGCACATAGATTCTGCACCACACTCTAGACCTCAGTAGCGGGGAAGGAATGAGGTTTTGTACCAAGGAAATAAGATTTAATTTGCTAATGTTTTTTGAATACTGCTCTTTATTTCACCTCAAACTACATATATTTCTGCTGTAACACTTCATGGAGAAAGACAGTGGATGACTATGGAATTATTTATCGCTTGACCATGAGATAATCTCCCTCTTCTTGATATTGTTTAAATAAAAATAATAATTCATTCCCTTACTGCTCATTCTAAATGAATTACAGCATAGGATTTCTTGTGTTTGCTGAGGCTGCTTCTCAGTTTAGGGGAAGGCATAACTTCAAAACAGCCTTCAATTTTTGTGTGATACAGAGGAGCATTTAATGTATTTTGAAGGTCTATGAATATGGAGCTGGCTAAGTTTCTCCTTGTCTTATTCATTGCGGTAACTGACACATGCTAAAAAGTTGAGCTTCGATGGAGCTGATGGGATAAACTGAATAGAGATTACACAATACTTTATTAAATATTAAATACTTTTATTGTTACACAATATTATTAAAATTTAATATGCAAAAATAACAGAAAATTGTGTAGGCAGTTTGAGTGGCTGCCCCTGCACAGACTGAATAGGAAGGAGGTGTAAGTCACCTGTTCAGGACTTACGCTACTGCAAAAGAAAGACTATGCGTGAGAGAAGTACTACTCAAGCCCTTTATTTACTCTAGTTCTCTACAGTATGTGTACTCTAACATGAGTAAATAAAAGGTATTGGTCCCTCCAGAGTGTCATGCTTGTGCATCACTGGGGTGTTGGTATGGGTTCATATCAACCCATGTTGATGTGTTTTGGAGCATGGCGGGGGGGGATGAGATATTAGAGGCAAGTCTCTTTTTTCACCCCTCTATTGTGAACAGTCTGAAGTCCTCTGGTGGCACTGAACACCGTTCAAATGGAAGTTGATGAGCTGTTTTATAGTACTTTGACAGATAGGCTATTGTGAGGACCTGTGTACTAGGGGAAGACCAAGTGTGAATTCTAATCATTTGTTGTCGTTCCTTCTGCAGAATGTCCGAGCTGATTGAGAAGGAGACTGAAGAGTACCGCAAAGGGGATCCAGACCCATTTGATGACCGACACCCAGGTAAGATGTCCTGAATGGTTTTGGCAGCACCAACTCTGTCACAACGGATTCGTGGTAATTCATATTTAAGATTAAGCAATTTTTAGTCTGAATGTGCCCACTGCTGATCAAGGTCTGATACTACTTCTGCAGTGGGCAATTGTGCTCTGTAGTGCTGATATCTGGCAGTCTTGATGTTTGCTGCAAGATTTGGAGGCCCTGGGTAGAGTTTTGGAAGAGTTTTTCAGGGGCTGATTTATGACATAAGGGTATGATCATGTTAAGTTGTAGTTAATGTGAAGTAGTAGGTGTTAGATGGACAGAGAAGACAGTCTGTCTCAGGTTATCTTGAATTTGCTGTTCAGTAAGTGGAGTGCTTTAGAACAGTTACAAACAGCCACTGATGCTTTTTATCTTGTTTTTTTTTTGGGGGGGGGAGATGACTTATTTCCAAGTTGCTGGAACAGTTTGCTTGGCATCTGCATCCTCACTGTCTACAAAAATGAGAGTTCCATACTATTGGACCACTAAAATGTGTTGTGCTTTGACTGGTAGAAATTCTAGGGAGGTAATGCCTATTAGAAAAAACGTTAAGTCGGTGAATAACTCATATGGTTTCTTCTGTAATTTTCCCTCTGAGAAAGGTCCTGCTAACTAGAGTATTCCACAAACAATTTGAAGATAGCAGTTCAGTATTAATCTTGACATTCTGAGGTAGGTAGATAAGTCTTTTCCTGTTTTTCCCACAGGTCGAGCGGACCCAGAGTGTATGCTTGGTCACTTACTGAGGATACTTTTCAAGAATGATGATTTCATGAATGCGGTAGGTTTGCTCTGAGAACTGTATCTGTCAATTCCTGACACCTTACGGTTTTTGTATACTCTGTACTGGTTGACCTCAGTACTTGTTTGATTTTACTGTTGTAGGGACTATCTCTTCTGTAGCAGTGATTTTTAAAATTGGTTTAAGTGTGACTCATTTGCCACTGTTAAAGTGACTCAAGGAAAGGGGAGTTCATGAGCTGTTCAGGCGTGCTGGAATAGGTGTAGTAACAATTGAATTAGTTCTTCTCAAGGTTTATCAGTCTCTTCAAAGAAGATGTAGCTCCTGTAATACAAGTTTAAAAGCATAATTAATTTCTGTGATGGAAATTAATACCACTAATTCCAATGCCTTGTCTCTGACTACTTGGAAATGCTGGACTGCCTGTAGGAGCAGAGGAGTATGTCAGCTCTAGAAGACTCAGGCAGAGGATTAAGAGGCAAGAGTGTGGCTTTTCTCTTCCATTGCTATACTCTAACATGAGTTAATAGCTAGAATTTTTGTTACCCTCACCTCCCTGCAAGCACCTGTATCAGTACACATTGCTGTAAGGGTTCTGACAGATTGCTTGCATGTAGCTTTCTGTCTTAAACTGCAAGTGATAAGCAAATACAGATGCATAAAAACGTGCATTTTTTATGTTAATTTTTTTCAGCTATTACCTTTTCATGTTTACGGTGTTACTGAACTATAATTTTTTTTAGGCATTTGTCTTTACAAATCAGTTCAAGATAGATATTCAGTCAGTGAACAGCAGACCAGAGGGGAATTCCGTTTCTCTGAAAAGTAGTTTCAACTTCTGAGGCACTGGAGGGAGCAGGTTAAAGGCTAGTCATCTTTAGATCCAGAGCTTATATACTGACATTTCTTACTTTATCATTTTGCTGCTGTGAGAGTCGTAAGGCTTTCATTGCACTGGTTTGGTCAGAGTTGAATTTCAAACCAACGCTGTTCCTGATCTTCTCTAGCTAGTGAATGCTTATGTGATGACAAGCAGAGAACCTCCATTAAACACTGCTGCCTGCCGACTTCTTCTGGATATCATGCCGGGACTGGAAACAGCTGTTGTCTTTCAGGAAAAGGTATCATCTATACTAAGGCTTGGGTTTTAAGCTTGATGTATTATGTACTCCAACAGTTCTTCCCACAGGAGAAACCAGGCAAAAGCCATCCTGTAATCCTGTCTCTGGGAGACAATCTATTCAATCTTACTAATGGTTTGGGGCTTTTTTGATGTTGGCTTGTTCAGCTGATCAAATCTGGGGTATTTCGCAGCTTGTAAGGTATAACAGGACTGATTCAAACAGAGGAGCTGGAACTTAATGTAATGTTTTGGAAAATGTTATACTTTGAGTTGTTATTTCATAGGCCTGTGAATGGAGCAGGCTGTATAGAATGTAAAGACTTGCTGTAGGAGTCTTGCCCAGTAATCCCCAGCTATGGCAGAGCGATAGCATTAGAGCTAAGTGATAAACAAGTCATACTTTAACTAAGCAGTCTAAAATCCACGTGCTTTGTAGGGATTATCTGGAACTGTGATGGACAGCTGAATCAGACTTCTGTATGTTGACAAATGTGGTTTTCTGAAGGAATGCACAGAGGGTTGAAAGTGAGGAGAAAGTTGGTTTCACTCCTGAGTCCCAGTTTCTTCATCTGTAAAAATTAATGTATTTTTTTTCTGAAGTGTGGAAATCAGGTAGTTCTTTATATAAAAGTTCCAAATTAGCTTCTTTACTATTGGCAATATGGATATGAACTCTAAAGCATGATAAAAGGAAACAATAATGTGCTCCCTTTGTGAAGGATTGAATTTAATTTCAGATCTTTGTGATCTGTCCAAAGGCTCGGGCTTTGATTGAAAAAAATTAAAAGCAAAACAATAGTTCCCTATTTGTGAAGGATATGGCTTTTTTTCCGAGACTAAATCTCTCTGTAAATTGAAATAAAATTTTTAAGTTAAGTTTTGCACTTAAGGAATTTTTTTCTTTTGACTTGAGAATATATAGAGTTCTATTATGGCACTTTGGGTTCCTATATGTAGGAGGCTTTAGCATAGCTCACAAGTCCGTTTGAAGAGGGTATTGTTCTGGTCACAAAGAGGTCCTCTAGCGGCCAAGGTATTTCACATCTCATCGATTTTATTTTTTTTTAATGACATAAGAGCATTTCAATAATAATGCAGTTTTCTTTAAATATATAATAGGCAACTCTTTAAAAATCTGTAAGCTGAGAGTTCTCATTGAAATGTATATCTATTCATTATTTCTTTTAACTGATCTTTTATTGTATTGTACCTATGATTCAAATTATGTGCAAGATTCCTGTCACGATAGTGATATGTTGTTGTATGATGTTTCAAAATCCAGTAGTGATTTAGAGGAAAAAATTCAATCTTTCATTCTAAACAATTGTCTTTTCAATTGGCTGTTTTAATTTTTAATTAACACTTATCCAGCCTTGTTAAGAAAAGTTGCCTGGCAGGCTGTGTTCAAACACCGCTGATTTTGTTACTATTAAAAATATTAACCATATTTAACATTAAGATTTTCATATGTGCAGATTGGCATGCTTGCATGCATTTCTCTCTTCTCCAAACATTATGGATTTCTGACTATGTTGAGAATTGTTCTTTTGGTTGGTGAGTAGTCATTAGTGTAAAGAGTTCCTCTGGCACCAGGTAGCTTGCTTATTTAAGTGACTTTTCAATTTAGCCCTAGTAAGCTTTTAGTGAAATGAAAGAAATTTAGCCAAATTCCATTCTGCTTGGTGTAAGTTCAACACGGCTTCTTTGAAATCTGCTAAATTGCTGGAGATTTCTGTTAGTGAACTGACAGGAGCTTTGGGCTTGTTTGTTTTGACTAATCAATTCATACCTGTAACGTTTTGCTACTTCCTAGCAGTAGGTTGACTGGCCACTTCAGAAGATTTTTGCAGGTGTGCAAATCCTGATTCCAAATATTTGATGTTTGGAATGGTTTTATGCAGCTTAAAATGTTAGAATTTTTTTTTTCCCCCAGATATTTTTAAATCTTGATTCATTACATAATTGGTAGGAAATCTAGCCTGCTTATTACTAGAGATAGGGAGAATTGTTACCAACAGATGCTTTCGCTGGGACTGAGAAGTTAAAAATTAAATATAACTGTTGGAATTGCTTTCTTATTTTCTTCATTCTAGGAAGGCATAGTTGAAAATCTCTTTAAGTGGGCGCGAGAGGCTGATCAGCCACTACGGACATATGCAACGGGGCTATTAGGAGGAGCTATGGAAAACCAAGATATTGCTGCAAATTACAGGGATGAGAACTCACAATTGGTAATGATCTCTTGATTACTTTCCTTTTTTAGAGGGCAGATACCGTTACCTTTTTTTTTTTTTTTTTTTTGTGGGGAGCTCACATTCATGAGTTAATATATGGGTCTCACAGTCATTATAATAATATCTGTAAGAGTCAGTAGCTCATGCTTTCCATCCTTTCCTGACCGTGCATTTGCTGAGGCTGTGACCTGATTATTCTCTTATACCAATGTGTTAAAAATGCCGATGGAAACCTAAGAAGGCAAATACTATACTTTTTAATGGGACTCATTCATAGGCCCCTTAAAGAAAAATTTTCAGAAGCTTTACATCTGTAACTATTGCATGTTGTAATTTAATACTGGACAGAGATTTTTAAAATGAAAGGTAAACTGGCATGGGGACAAGTTAATATGAAATTGCGTTCAGTTCTGTTGTAAACCTTTCACTAATTTAGTGTTGATTCTGTATGATGTTTATCAGCAATCGACATGACTTTTGGAAGAAGGTAGAATAGGCAAATTTGTCTCCCAGGATGGTGTACAGAGTTTTGAAGCATAGGTGAATTCTGATTAGGTGAATTCTGATTCTTGCACAGATAAGGCCTTTAAAAGTAAAAGTGTGGCCTTAGGTTTTGTGGAACTGCAATTTATCAAAGCTGCTGCTTCGAAAGGGAATGTTGCCTTTATTCTAGGCTAGGCAGAGGTGATGGAAGAATGGTGGAAGATGCTATGTGGTTCTGTTAGCACGAATATAGCTCATCTGCTCTTAATGGGTTTTAAGCCACTTCTTTCTCATTCGGGAGATTAAGTGCTGATATTTTAGAATGAAAGTAGCTGTAGCAAAAAGGATTGGGGTTTTCTTATTCACTTGGAAATCATTATTTCTCTTGGCAAATGTACACCACAGCATGCTTGACACTTAATGCTGTGGAGTTGGTTATATGATAAGAACAAAAAATATGGTCAATGTGAGATCCATGACCAAAGCAGGAAGTGTATTCTCATGATTTCTTCTTTTCTGAAACAGGTGGCTTTGGTGCTTCGACGGCTACGAGAGTTACAGGTTACTGAAATGACTACAAAACAAGAAAACAAGCGTCCCAGTCCTCGGAAAGTGCCATCAGATCCTCTGCTGCCTCTAGATGAAGAGGCTGTGGATATGGATTATGGGGAGATGGCAGTAGATGGAGAGCAAGAGGAAGTTTCTGGGGATATGGAGATCTCCTTTCATCTTGATTCAAGTCACAAGACCAGTAGCAGAGTAAACTCTGCTACAAAGTTAGATGATGGGGGACTGAGAAAAAACAAATCAGGGAAACAGCATGAAAGAGACGGCTTCCGGAAGGCCAAGCAAAAGCTGGGCTTCTCTGCTTCAGAGCCAGAGCGGATGTTTGTTGAACTGTCCAACAGCAGCTGGTCAGAAATGTCCCCGTGGGTGATTGGCACTAATTATACACTTTACCCTTTGACTCCTGCCATAGAGCAGAGGCTAATTCTTCAGTACCTGACTCCCTTAGGGGAGTACCAAGAGGTGAGCATATGAAGGTGGGAGGAAGCACTCTGTGCTTGAATTCTCCTGACAAAACTATGAGTGGTATTGTGGGGAAAAATTTGCAGAACTGTTATATTGCTCTCTGATGTTTCCTGATATGATTAAGATCAGTAACCTTTCCTGAGTTGTTGATGACTTTCAAATTGATGAAGTTGTTAGTTTGAGTATTATCTAGTAGGTAATACTCAAATCTGAACCTAGGAGGTGTGTGGTCTAGTAGTTGGAGCATGGGACTAGGAATTTTATTCCTGGTTTCTGTTAAATTTGGTGATTGTTTACATGACACAGGGCAAGTCACTTTGTCTGAAATACAGATATTTTTCCTGTTTCCTCTGGGGGATGTGATACACTCCCGCAATTAAAAGTCTGAGGAAATAATGAACTTGAAATTCTAAATGAAGTGGTTTGTGTAACCTCTGCAGTAGTTCTGATGAGAAAGGGCAGTGCCTATGTTATGCAGATGCTTTTGAGAGCTGTTGTTACTTACATGGACAAAGTAGTTGGGCAGTGTCAGATTTACCAAAGTGCGTTTCCTTTTTCCTCTCTCTCTCTTCTTTTTTTTTTTTTTTTTTTTTAAAAACCATAAAACTCAAGCTAGCATAGGTCTGCAGGCCACCTTTATCTCTGTCTAATCTTTTTTTAGGTGGTTTAACTTAATTTGAAATGGAACAAAGCAACACAGTTTTGCTTTGTGATATACGTTATGTATGTGTGCACGTGTGTGCCTTGCTTCTGTGAGAGCCAAAGAAACCATTATCCCCTTGATACCTTGCATGCTGACTGGATCACTTCATATGCCAGCAATAATAGGATATAAAAATAGGAATTAATACTATAAAGCTGTTACACAAAGAATTACACAAAGGGTTTTGGTTTGTTGCCCTGCTCTCCTGTTTTTTCTGTTCAGTTGTTGGGTAGTTGTCTTTGCACAGATGGAAGGTGGAACCTATCTCCAGGGTGGTATCTGTGTGGACTTGCCATAGCCGCACTTGAAGGAGAGTCTTAAGATTTCCGTGTGGCAGCTGTCATGCACCTTGCTGCAGTCAGCAGATGTATTGCAAGAGGTCTGTTAACCTTTATTGCTTCCTATGGATGGAGCTGGTTACCACTGACCTCTCATAACAGGTATCTGCCAATAGGGGAAAATGGGGGTTTGAGAGAGTAAAAACCAAAACAGACCTTGTCTTTCCCATGAAACATTCAGCTAGTCTCCCATTTTTATCTTTCTCAGCTACTACCCATCTTTATGCAACTGGGATCAAGAGAGCTGATGATGTACTACATTGATTTGAAGCGAACCAACGATGTGCTGCTCACTTTTGAAGCCCTTAAGGTAAATTACTTCCATAATGCATAAAACGTACCATAAGCATTGAATATATGTCTGCTGGATGCGTCAAAGGCAAATGCTCACCTTCTTTAGGCCTGTGTATCTTGCAGCATTCTCTGGGATTGGAATTGGCTTTCACTCAACTTGAGTGCATTGTAGTTTTGTTTTTATAACCCTCAAATATTTAAAATAAAAAAAAGAAAGGGGGGAGGGGATAAAAAGATCTGAATTGTGCAGGAAGTGCCATTAATTTCACCTGCCATCTGCCTCTCTGAAAAGGATAAGAATTCCTTTTTCTGTCAAATGCTTGTGTTCCTGCTGCCCTTAGATGGCATTC